AGTCACTTTCTAATTTGTGAAGCTCAATTATCTTTTGCTGCACATCAGAAATATATTCTTTGGTTTTTCTCACAGATATTTTACTCATAAGAATTTCTAGGGGTACCAATAATTGTGTCCAACGTTTATTTCATAATGAGATTTTCCCCCATTTTCAATTGTTTTAGTTCAATGAAAGGTTAGATATTTGTGATTTTTTAAAAATAAAAGATCAAAATGATTAACAATGCAGATTTATTTTCACAGCCTTCTTTGATCATATTTACCAAGGGTGCCAATAATTCTGACCACGACTGTATAAAACCAAACAACATTGGTGATCACGTTTAAACCAGTTTCCACAAACCTCTTTTTAATGATCAGCTAAGGGGGAGAAGTCTTCATCTTTTCAAAATATGTGATCATAGGTTGCCATGTCTCATAAAATTTTTGGACAGATCCTTTCATTAAATATTTATTTTTTTCTCATTTCAAATACAAAACCAGATCACACATCCACATTGAAGCTTTAGGTGGGATTGTTGATTTCCACTCAAGTAATATTCTTCTTCTCGCTAATAAAGTGGCAAAAGCGATAACATTTTTTAACTGTTTGTCAATGATATTTTGCATTCCGGATTGCAAAAAAATTTCAACACTGGGTTTTATTTCTAAATTAAAGGCATCATTTAGTGTTTTAAATATTAGTGCCCAATAGTCACTCAGTTTTGGCAAGCCCAAAACATATGAAAAAAGTCTGCTTTGCCATTTTTACACCGATCACACACCTCATCAACATCGGGGTATATTTTTGAAAGTCTACCCTTTGTGTAGTAGGCACGGTGAATGATTTTGAATTGTTTAAGACTGAGGCGTACACAAGAGGTTGATGATGATCCATTTACTCTACTCAGAGCCTCATCCCATGTTTCATCAGGTATTTCAATCCCCATGTCCTTTACCCACTCACCTCTAATTCGGTCAATTAAAACCTCATTTGGAGACATAATCATATATATATATATATTGCTGCAATTTGACCTTTAAGAACAATAGGAGACTGTAGGATTTTATCCAGCAATGAAGCAGGTGGCAGATCAGGAAAAGTTGAGCTCTGAGCTTGGATAAAATGTCAGACTTGAAAGTAACGAAACAGATTGGATTGTGACAATTGAAATTTCTCTGACAGGTCACTAAAACTAGCAAAAGTGTTATCTATATAAAAATCACTACATCTGGCCAAGCCTACCCTCTGCCATTGTACATATGTGAAATCTAGTTTGCCAGCAGGGAACAAGTCGTTATTACAGAGAGGGCTTAGCAGAAAAATTGGTGAGTTTATACATTTGTCTAAACTGTGACCATATCTTGATGGTAGAGCATACGACTGGGCTTGAAGAATATTTAGAGGGAGAAAATGGTAACTTCATTGTTATTAGAGCAGAAAGTGATGTAGAAATACAAGTATTTGCTTCCGCTTTACACCAATCAACCTCTGGTGTGTTATACCAACAAACAATTTTTTGGAGGTTAGCGGCCCAGTAGTGGCTCATAAAATTAGGAAACGCTAAACCTCCCAAGACCTGTGTCTTTCGAGAAGCTCTTTACGAATTCTAGTTTTCTTCCCCCTCCACAAGAATGATAAAATAGGTTTATTTAGTGTATGGAAAAAAAGCATTTGGGAGAAAAACTGGAAGGGACTGAAATAAGTACAAGAATCGAGGTAAGACATTCATTTTTATACAATTCACTCTGCCTGCTAGAGATAAGTGTAGTACGTCCCATCTCTGAAGATCAGATTTAATTTTACTTATTAGTGAAAAAATTAAATCTTAAATAAAAAATTGCACTTATTTAATATGTCATAAACTGATTCTTGTGGTAAATATGCCTGACAAGATTGTTACACTGAATTACATTTTAGTGGCTGTTTTCTGTAAATCAGGGTAAAAATTTATATTTATTTGTTGTGCAGAAAAAAAACTATTAAACAGGGCACTTTCTAATGTATTGAAAAATAACAACAACAATTCAAAGCTGTATTACACTTATTGTTTTAATGCTTGAAAACCATTTTTCATCTTTGACCCACTAATAAATAAAGTACTTGTTTTATTAGCATTTACGTAATCAACAAATCCATAAAAATGTCACTTTATGGATGTGTAGTTATAAGCTCTCATATATACATATTCACAGTCACAGGATTCAAATGAAGCTGTACAGACTTGCATTGATTGGCTGGAATTGGTGTTCGTCATCAAACAACGACTCGCTGATAGGTTAGCGGTGAGGTTAATAAAGCGCCTCAGAGCGGAGCTATCCAGGAAGTCGTGTTCAAAACACGGAACAAAATGGAGACCCTTGACGCAATGCCAAGAAAAGAAAAAAAAAACAAGAAGCCTTTGTTAAACGTCTGTTAAAATAATTAACATAGAACACATTCGTGATTCCTCATGACAGTAATATTCAGGTCAAGTCAGGCGGCAGCTCAAAAGTATCCACTAAAATGTATGAATATTGAAGGTAAATCCTCCCACTGAAGAGACCCGCGGTGGCAAAGGTAAAAGGGTCGAGTTCATATGTTAGCTCTCAGGCTAACCAGCTAATGCCTAAAACATGTATACCGATGTATAAATCACATCACAATGATTGACTCAATTACATTTATATACAACAGTTGCTCTAGAACAACGCGAAATATGCCAGTCATTGTAAACCATACTATATTCGGACAGGCTTTTGTCCTTAAATAAAAGCAGAAGCGTGATTGTTTACAGCACCGGTTTTTTTCACGGAACGTTTTTGACCAACCATTGTGCGACATGCAGAAATGAAAAGCTGCTCACCTGTGATACGGACGAGCGCAGGTGTTTCGTTCTCCGGTTTATTGCACATTATTTGTTATTGTTTTACTCCAGTGAAAGGTCATAGTTCGTGACCCCGTTTGCAAGCGTGCGAGTTTCCTTCCTCTCGGGCTCGTTCACGGTTGCGCGGACACGAGCGTCTGGAGCCAGGCGTCGCTGACGTCATCATGTCTGTCTCCTACACGAGCGCGCGGATTGGCAGCCTGTTTACTCCTAATTCACAAAGCTTTGACGTTAGATAACCACACACACACACACACACAATATATATTGCCAAAAGTATAGGGACACCCCCTTCTAATGAACAGGTTTGACTACTTTAGTAATTTCCATGAGTACAAATCTTAATGTTTAAGCAGATAATGCTATTCTAGGGAATTGTGTGCTTCTAATTTATATTAACAGCTTGGACAGGAGTCACAGGACCCTTTTCTATTCTAACATGACAAGAGGTTTTGACAAGGGTCCTGTGACTCCTGTCCAAGCTGTTGATATAAATTAGAAGCACACAATTCCCTAGAATAGCATTATCTGCTTAAACATTAAGATTTGTACTCATGGAAATTACTAAAGTAGTCAAACCTGTTCATTAGAAGGGGTGTCCCTATACTTTTGGCAATATAGTGTATGTGAAGTTATTAACGTAATTTCGGGAGGAGTACACCCATCTAATTTTCCAATTAATATTCAAGTATTAAAACAGCCTCTTACCACTTCCATTGTTAGTTCTTTCAGCATCTTTCCTCCTCCCAATCTCCTCCTTTGTATGCATATTTATTTAGCTTTCTGTCTATAGAGGGGGGCTATCGGAGCTCGAGTAGAATAGTCTCTCTGAGCCCTCCATTGCAGACATCAAGCCAAATCTGTTTACCACTAATGTTAAGATTATATGGGCACACAAACTCGTGATATATACAGTGGGTACGGAAAGTATTCAGACCCCCTTCAATTTTTCACTCTAATATAACAAAGAGTGAAAAATTGAAGGGGGTCTAAATACTTTCCGTACCCACTGTATGTGTGTGTGTGTGTGTGTGTGTGTGTGTGTGTGTGTGTGTGTGAGAAAATAACATCATACTACTGTAGCTTTATATGGTTATTCTATGACTGCATTTCTTTCTTAAAGAATAATTGTATTTCAGATAGGTGGTAGAAAGTGATAAAATCAAACAATTTCATATAATGTTTGGGTCTACAACACTAATTGTTGTCATGCAGAAATGAATCAGTAAGGGCTTTAGATTTGTGAAGCATCCAAATGAGAATGATTTACACATTTCTTTAAATGAAATCCCCTTTGGATTGTTAAGCAATTCAGCATGTCAGTGCTTCTGATGAAGTATCTTGTTGTATCACTGTTGGTTTGCATCCACTATGCACTTCTGGGATAGAATTAAACCACATGGTTCAGATCAGATGCAGTGCAAAGCATTCAGTGTGTTATCACAGAAAATACTGACGGTACAAGTGGTTTTGTTCCCTCTTTTACAAAGGAAAGTACTGTGTTTATATACCAGGTTTGTTAACTTTTTCTTGTACGTGTTTGGTCTGCTGTGGCATTTATTTGTATTTAATGGTAATTTATCCTGTATATATCCTATAGTATAGGTAAAGGTTGTGTACAAAAAGTTGAAGGCATAGTTTTTTGTATTTTCATTAAAAAAGTACAATTATAACATTATACCTTGGTATTAAATTTAAAAAAAGTAGTGCTGAAAAAAACTGCTGCAAGGGTGTTTCTAATACAATGCCTCACATGAGGGAGTGGAGTACATTTGACTGCTATAATTAATCTCTCTATTTTTACACCAGAAATAGTGTGCAGGATAGGCTTCAGTATGTTGAATATACAGCTTTTTGTGGGGAAACAGTATATTGCTTAATGAATTGACAGCCTGGCTCAGCTCTGGCCCAAACAAAAAGATGAAGTATGGCTGAAATTAGAAAGTCGGCCCAGAAATTAACCAAATGTGCCTTAATCTCACCTGTACTAAGTCAAATAATAACAACCGATGTGGCCCATTAACTGAAGGCTGATGGCCTTTATGTGGCCTAAATGTGGCTGACAGACCAAAAGCCATTATTTAACCATATCTGTACCACACCTATTTTTTTATTTTATTTAAAATACACAGTTAATCATCCATTTTTTGCTGAATATAGCATTTTAAATATAACAGAAGTGTGCTGATGTTGGTTGTAATGTTGTAAGATTTAAGTATGTGAAAGAATTTACAATAATTGCTTTTTTTAATATGTCTCACCGATCTTTCTCACTCACAGTCTTTCAGGAAAAGAGAGAGGGAAAAAATACATGACTGCAGTAATCAAATACTAGGGTGAACCAACAAAATATTATTAAAAGATTATAATTCTTGTATTCAATGCATGCTTTATTTTTTGTGAACTTTTTGTTTTTCTATGCATTTTGTTTTGCATAGTAATATAAAACTCATATTCCATGATAAGCTGTAGTTTGCTTTTTTGCCAAATAAGTTAAATTAGTGTTTTTTTCTTCCCAATATATTTTGATCTTGTGGGGTCATTAAAAGCAAATATTAAGAAATATCCTCTCCAGACATCACGTTTGACCCCTACTGTATGGTTCTCCGTTATATACATCAATACAAATGGTGATCCAAAAGAAAATTTCCTCCAATTCTAAAGTCATGGCAAAACATTTGGCCCACATTTGCTTATATGCTAGGCCCAATGTGACAGCCATCGTCCACGTTTGTCCCAAAAGTTCTTGCTATTTGGGCTATATATTCTTTTATAAGGGTTTTTTTTCCCCTCTTTTTCTCCAATGGTACAGACTTACTGAGGTTGGTATCTCCCCAGTAAGAACACTTTTGATGTTGTCAAGGTTATTTTGTGATTGGTTTATAAGGGACACATGATCCAAGTTGACCACTGACCAGGGATAGTTCACCCAAAAATGAAAATTAATTTGCTTATCCTCCGCATCTGTTCCAAACTTGTATGGGTTTCTTTCTTCTGTTGAGCACAAATTAAAATAAATCTTTAGAATGTCGGTAACCAAACAGTTGCCGGTAGCTATTGACTTGTTTCAAGTCAAGTCACCTTTATTTATATAGCGCTTTTAACAATACAGATTGTCATCCACCATCTGGGCTGGATACAGACTGGATTCGGGTGACTGCAGTGACCATCTGATCTGGATACAGACTGGATCTGGTGGCTACGGTGACCTCGGAATAAGAGAGAAA